CACTTTACTAGAAAACTATCCTGAGGAAAGTGAGAAGATGAATTAAAAGGCTAATATTAGTAATTTATACTTACAAATATATTTGTTGGTGACTATATTTTTAAATAGAGAAAAACAAAAAACTCTCAGAAATAATTTAAGAAAAAATTTTAAAGCCCAAGAAAAACAGGGAAGATAAATTTCAAAAGAGTAAAAGGCATTTTACTCAACAGGAAACACTAGTGGCTAATACACAAATGAAAACAGTTCAATCTCTTAGTTATTAAGGATAAGTAATAAAATACAGTAGCTGCCCACCAGATGAGCAATGAGATTAATGAAAAAAAAACATTATTGCTAGTGAGTGTGTAAATCACTGTAGCCACATGGGAAAGCAATCTTGCATCTTGATAAAATTGATGGTGCAAATAGCCTACTCCTGATTATTATATTCCCTAAAAAAAATCTATTACAAAAGTATAACAGCATAAAGGTATAAGAATGTTCATAGAAGTCTTAAATTTTAATAGCAAACTAGAAATTATATTGCTATGGTTTGGTGTCTCTCTCTCTCTCTAAACTCATATTGAAGTTTAATTCCCAGTGTAAGGCATTAAGGTAAGGCCTAGTGGGTCTTCTGACATGATTGGATCATGAGATCTCTACCCTTATCTATTCATGGACTAATAAATTAATGGTTTTCTCAGGAATGAATCTGTGCTAGTAGCCAGACTAACTCTATCTCTTGTATGCACCCCTCTCTCTTTTGATGTCCTGCACCACCCTGGACCTCTGCAGAGTCCTCACTGGCCAGAAAGCTCTGATTAGATTAGCACCTCTACCTTCTGGCCTCCAGAACTGTGAACTCAACAGCTTTTTATTTCTATAAATTATCCAGTCTGTGGTATTCAGTTACAGCAACAGAAAACAGACCAAGAAAGGTATATAAATGGCCCACCATCAATACAGTAAATGAATAACATGGATATTCATTCAATTTAATACTACAGAGAAAAATGAATATGAGTTAATTACAACTACTTGCATATACAGCAATACTGAAAAAAATGTCCATAACTGAAGAATATAAAGTATAGCTGCCTACTTTCAAAATGAGATTTTAAAACAGAAAAAACTATTGTTTAAAGCTATAACTTGCTCTAAGTTATGAATATTGTAATGCAATGACACAAAATTCAAGGTGGTTTTTATTTGGCAATGGTAGAGTAAGGAATAAGTAGGGTGGGATTGGCATATGAAGAGTTTAAAGGAAGCATCTGATTTTCAAGCTCAGCCATAGGGACAGAATTGCCTTCTATGGTCCTGCAGACTGTGTGGACATGTCTGTATTTATGCAAGTAGAAAATTTAGCACACAATTTTAAGGAGAAAAGTAATTATGTATACTTCCTATAGGTCAAGAAGTATATTTTTTCATGCATTTTTAAATGGATATCAGAAAGGATTACATCACTATATATTCCACTGGAGATAAAAGAATGATATCTTTTATTTTATATGCCATATATAAATGTCATAAATGAAATTCTTTTCAGGTATTTAAATTTAAGATACAAATTAGATATACTGAATTTTAGATTTCTGCTAAAATAATAGGGTACAACATTTAAAAATTCTTTTAAAGAACAGACTCCTGGAATGTATTTATTCTTCAAGAACAATGCCATATTGAAACATAGTCATAGAAAGTTCAGCTGGAATGGAATTTCCATCATGGCCGTTTAGTCTATTTCAATAAATTTAACTGATCTCAACACATTTTCTGTCCTCCCATAAAAGCAATGCTAGACTTTGTCAGACATTAAGTAATATATCATTAACTAATGTCTTTTACTTTTCTGCTCACTCCAAGCATATCACATTATTTCCCATTCATGTTTCCTGGTTTTTATGATCTCATTTCTGGTTTTCCCATTATGAAAATGCTTTCTAATGTTATTTTGATTCTGTGTTTCCAAGAACTAATCATCAAGTATGACGTATTAACAAGCCTTTAACAATTTAAAATTTTCTGATTGATTTCTATAGACCAATGCATTATTAAATAGTCATGGAGAAAAAGGTCCTCTGCTCTAGTCACATATATGTTTATAAATATAAATGTAAAACAATTATATATATATAAATTATATATGTATACAATTATATATGTAAAACAATAGATGATAGATAGATAGATAGATAGATAGATAGATAGATAGATATTTGGAAGAGCTTCCATACTGTTTTGCATTGTGACTATATCAATCTACATCCCTACCACAGTGTACCAGGGTTCCAATTTCTCTGTCTTCACCAACACTTGTTATCCTTTTTTATTCTTCTTACAGTTTTAGACTAACATCAGGCTAAATTCACTTTTGAGTTGAATGTTAAATGGATTAAATGACGACCCCTCCAAAAAAAAACAAAAAGGTAGAAAGAAATCAAAGAAATAATGCATTAATAAATATGCATAGTAACATCTTCTGGCCTGAAACTTGACTGAGACACCCAATTTAGAATCAACTTTGATGCCTAGCCTTCCCTTCATATTTCCAAAGGTAATACTAGCTTTGTTGGATCACTACCAAAAGAACCAAACTATGACCAAGAAACCAGTCTTAAACAGCAATATTTGTTAATGTCCAATTTGGGGAAAAGAAATGTACTGGAATGGAAAGCAAGAACAAGAATAATATTTTTTTAAATGGAGGAAGGAGTAATAGAGACTTAACAGAGCAAATGTAAGATAAATCACTAGCTAAATTTACCTGTATAGCTAATGTAAACTGTTCCTGAATTCCTCTCTCAACTATTCCATATTTTGAAAACTGAAAATCTATATCAAATTAACCCTAAGATAATTAAAATTAAAACTAGTTCTAAAACTGAATAAAATGAAATAGTATCTGAGTTGCCAAAAACAAAATTTGAATTAAAAGTTTATTGAAAATATTTGTATTTTTATTAAAATAGAAACACTTTTTAAAGTAAAAATATATTTTATCTAGAAATAACCAATTGAATTGATCAATGTTTAAGATAGTACACATAGATATATAATTATGGATATATTTTTAAACATAAACCATTATTAGTTTCTTATTATGAGGTAGACAATTATGTATATTAGCTTAAATCTCATAAAAGTTGTAGCTTTCCCATATTTGTATAACTCCAAAATAAAAACAGAGTGATTTCCCTGTCATTCATGGACATATTCAGGGCCAGGAGAATTGTAAGTCAGTCAGCCGAGGTCTGACAAGGAGATGACCTGCCTTCTGTTTCAGATCTCAAATCTTCCTTTTTTCTTGTTTCAAACTCTACACGTGTCCTTTTCACAATCTACTTGGTGCCATGTCTTTTCACTCTAATTCAAGCCTGAATGAAGCTGATCTAACACTTACATTTTCTCCATGGGGCAAATCCTAGCCTTGTTATGCTAAGGAACACTACACAGCACTTCAGCACTATGCTTGAGGATTGTTTCAGAGTAAAATAATCACACACACATCCACACACACACACACACACACACACACACACACAAACCTCACGGGATGCAAAGAACTTAAAAGGTACTAAATAGCATGCAAAAAAGGACAACATGAGAGCTGAAATAAGACAGCAGAGCACTGACCTTAGCCCTCCAAGCAATGGCTCAGTACTTGCTAATTTTGTGTTCACAGCAACTTTCTAGAATGTAGCTACCACTGAATAATAAGAACTACTGTAATTTCAATAATCTACATTTCCTTAAAGTTACAGTGTTGAACCATAACTCATAGGGAAAAGGTTAACAGCTTTGGCTGACTGAAGCAGTATTATAAATAGTCCCACTTATTAGACTATTTTTATTAGATAAAAAGCTATATATCTTATGTGACATGTTTCTTGAAAGACAGAGAATTTTGACTAGACTAAGTACTTCTTTAAAATTCTGAATCAAACCAGCAAGCTGCAAGTATTTTAACTGAATGGAAAAAAACAATTTTGCATAAGGAGTAACTCATTAGAATAAGCCTTTAAAAAAATAAATTTTTATCAATCAACCATGGCAAATAATTGTTTTCCTTACTTATAACCAAGCTGTCGACAGATCACAGCTGCATCCTTATCAGTCCATCCATCATCACAAATTGTTCCCCACTGGCCATTGATAAAAACCTCCACTCGTCCTTCTTTTTTATTTTCTCCATCCATAAGTCTTATAGGAAAACCTAAGTGATGATTCAAAAGTATTAGAAAAGTCAAAGCAAGAAAACTTATACTAAAGCATAAGAGACTTCAAAATATAATTATTTTAAATCAGTGGAACAACACTTGTTCTTGAGAGAAGAGAAAAAGAGAGAAGAGAGCAATAAAAAATTGTATCCACTTTTGTCTGTCTTTTGAAGCCCTAAGGTCAAAGTGCTCATCTTGCTCAATTTTGCATCCCTAACATTTGCAATAGTACCTGGCACATAGAGGACATGCACTGCTGTTTGTTGAAGGCATGAATGAATGAATGAATGAATGACACTATCAAACAAAATTATTTCATTACAGCTAACTTATAAATAATACAAGAGTATTACCTTAGAGTTTTTTGTTTTATATCCTTTTAAATCCATAATCTATAAGCTAATAATCCATAAGCAAAGATTTTTAGGAAAGTCATAAACAGATACATCATTGGTATACATAAGTAACTTGAATGAGTCCAACTTGAATGTGGATTCCAGTCAAAAATCACTAAGATATAAAAACTGAGAAACATCTCCAGCACATGGAGGTTAAAATTATGGAAATGAAGTAACTGATAGAATATCATATATCTCTATCCTCACCACTAAATATGGTGGTGTTTAGTGCATGTCCTTACTGAGATTTGCATACTGTCATGGGTAGAATTTTGAAGTCATTATGGTCATTTGGGGTCTTTAATCCATATAACAAAGTGTCCTTATAGAAAAAAAAATTTGGACAGTTATGCAGAGAGGGAGGAGGATATGAAGAGTCCTAGGGAGAAGAATCCCATCTACAACCCAAGAACAACCCTGGAGCATATTCATCCCCCACAGCCCTTCCTTCACAGTTCCTTATCTAGGAAGCACCCCTGATGAATCCTTAATTTTGAACTCCTAGCTCCAGAATTGTGAGACAGTAAATATCTATGTTTAAGCCACTCAATCCATGAGACTTTGTTAGAGCAATCCAAGCCACTAAGCGAACTCATACATTTGATTACCTAGTTGCGGGACAGGTCTCTAGTTTCAGTAGAGTTTACTGATAAGGATTTAGGAAATAAAATGAAGCATAGTGAAATTACCAGGAGTTGGAAGCATGCAGCTAATGAACAAAATATCACCTAATATTTGTTTAAGCCAACATATGAAGTTACTGAATTGACATTTGTTAACTAAAACAAAACTGTTAGCAGAATGAACACATTCTATTTTTATTTCTCAAACTCATTTTTACTTCTCTATTCTTTGTTGCTCACAGAGTTTCTATTGCTAGATCAGGTTCACTTCATGGGACAGGCACTATAGAAGAATCATATGGCAAAGTCAAAACCAAAAAATGTTTAGTGAGTGTCAATTCTATGTACTACTTACTAGTAGTTTTAAAAAATACAGGAGTTTTAGCTATGTCACAAAGCAGTATATTTGAAACAATACATTTGTCATTAATGTATCTGCAATTTGGGGTTTCTTCACAAGAGAAGTAGGGAAAAAATGATCATCAAATTCATACTGATCAAACTCTTTTCCTAAAATTTGGGAGTTTTATATTTCTAAATCTTTGGTTCAAAATTAAGACAAAATAGGAACATGGAATTAGCTCTCCATGTTTCATCTTAGTAGGTATTTATATACTCTAAAAATAAAATGATAAATTATTTTAAGGCTAAATAGCATACTTTGTAAAAATAATGCAGAAGATAGTTCTGTTACTAATTTTCACCATTTTAAAAAATCATTAGATTTTTAATTCTTGAAGGGAAACAGGATGACATAAGTCATTCAATCCATACCCTCTCACTACTTAAATCCTTTTTGTTAGGACAGTAATGATAATGATATACAACATACTCTATTTCTAAAATCTTAAATAAATATACAATGTTTGGGGAGGCTACAAGTCCAAAAGAAGCAAAAAATCTCCTTGTTTATATTATTATTCCATGACCTCCTTCTACTATAATCTTCTCTTTTCACTATACAGTATTTTTCATAAGTGGGAAAGTGATGATCTATTTGAATGAATAAATGATAATACTATTCTATCCCAAAGGATACTTGGCCCAGGCATAATGTTCTTTGAACAAATGACTTTAGTTAACAGACACATTACTGAGACTAGAACCAAAGAGATTCATGACAATGATTACATATTTTATTAATAATGATCACCCTCAGCTTTTTAAATTAAAAAAACCACATATAGAATCCTAAAATTAAAACAATTTTCGGAGGAAATGAACAGATTAGTTGTCCTAATTGTATGATGTATAGCAGAGGCCTCCAGAGAACTCAGATCACAGTATTTTTTTAACTAGGAGTAGTGATAGAGCATGTCTGGAAAGATCACTCCACGATCCAAATACCTGCTACCAGGGACCAAGAAGATCCATTTCTAGCAAACTGGTTCAATCCCCACTAACCACATGCAATCATTCATCAGATAATCCTGGGAGGATTATAAATCTTCCATAAAAAGAGGCCAAGAATAAAAGGAAACAAAGAGAAAAAAAATTGGAAATATGATCTACAAAGAACAAAGTGAAAAATTGTGTTGCTACTTTAAATAATGCTAGAGTAGCCCACTGAGTCACTATGATTCCACAGTTTAGAATAAATGAGGAAACAAACATAAGCATACTTTTATAAACTGAAAGTGTGAAATGTGGTTAATACTCTGGGCCTTAAAAAGTTTCATTGTTTTGTGGTTAGATTTTCAGCATCACAATCGCAAAATAGGAAGATACAAAAGGAATTGATTCAATCCTGCTGTTAAAAGTAAGTACCACAAAATGACTATTTTAAGATCTATTTAAACCACGAAACATGTAAAGATGTATAATAGAGATGTGATAGTGTCCTACCAAGTATTTTGAATATTTCCCTCTATATTTTTCACTTATATTTATTCTGCCCTCCTAATCATACATTAAGAACTTGTCAAGAATGTTTTATAGGACCGGGGATTTAGCTCAGTTGTTCTGCTACCTGCCTCAAAAGCACAAGGTCCCGAGTTTGATCCCCGGTACCAAAAAAAAAAAAAAAAAATGTTTTGTAGAATGATTTTTTTTTTTTTTTTTGTACCAGGGATAGAACTTGGGTCCTTACGCTTGCGAGGCAGGCAGCAGAACCACTGAGTTAAATACCCGGCCCAATTTTTTTTGTGTGTGTGAAGAATGTTTTGTAAGAGAATCTTTATCCATAATTATTTCAAGACTGCCAAATACTTTTATCTAAACACAAGTTTGAAGAAATTTGTAATACTGAGGGTAGTCCCTGATGTGTTTCTAGATAACAGCTGTTATGGCTTGTGTCTAGATAGCCCCCCAAGGGCTCATGCAGTCATGGTGTATGTTTGTGGGGGGGGGGCGCTTTTCAGAGGTGGCTGGATCTAGAGTGTTTGGTGCTGGGATGAAGGGTGTGTGATTACTAAATCAGTCTACTGATTGGTTTGGCATAATTCTGGCTAGGATTAAGAGTGTAAGTGCTGCACCTGCCCTAGGGAGGATAACCTGAATAAAATACAAGGGACAGAAAGAGGGCTAATGTGCTCTCACCTGCCTGCTTGCCATGGACTATTTTCCTCTGTGATGCCCCTCTGCCATGTGCCACCCTGCCTTGGAGTCAGCCAACTATGGGCTGAAACCTCTATAAACTGTAAGCCAAGTAAACCATTCCTCTTTTAACTTTGGGTGTTGGGTATTTTGTATTAGCTATGAGAAAAGTAACTAAGACAACAGTAGATCTTAGAAAGATGAGTTGACTGTTAACTCTAATAAATCCACTTAGAAGCCCACTGAGAAATTTGAAAAGCAACAAATGGCCAGTGATCAAGGACTGAACAGTCCTCAAAACTACAGGAGAAATAAATCATGAGACAGGGGGAAGAGAATACTCTTTTTATACTTTTTTGGTCCTGTCCCAAATAGCTCATTAGAATTCCAGGTAAATAAATATCAGACTAAGAGACCAAGGAATAATGGAATGAGTATTGCTGCTTCTTCCACCTTTCATGTAGAGATGATACAAATATTTTTAGTGAGAAGTTTGAACTCCCAAGTAACAAAAAACAAATTTAGGGAAAGAAATTTCATAACATTAAAGGACTCAAAAGATTATTTCTCTTAGCCAAAGATGAGAAATGCTTCACATTCCAGATCAATAGCTGGAGATGTGGTGGCTTCTGAATTAAGGATACTCGAGCTGTGGCCAGTCCTCACCCAGAGGGAGTTTATGCCCATTGCTGCCAGGGTAGCAGGCGATGCCCACATCTTCCTGATGGCTGCAGTCATGCTTTCCCCATTGTCTCCTGGAACACTGAAGGAAACTGGTTTCCTCTCCTGAGCAGCTCACATCATCCAACCAGATGGGCCCTGGGCTTTCTTCAAAATGGTTTGGAGAGGCTTGTTTGCCATACCTGTAGTGATAAAATAAGCATTCTGCATGGAACTGCTGACTCGTGTTTTAAGGGATCCATAAAATAACCTAATTAAGTAAGTGTCAGAACTTCAGAAGGTAAGTGTTTGTTCCTTCTTTTACCTTGGAGCCTCAGAGCCGTGTTTGATACATCATACTTTTTTTTTTTTTTTGGTACCGGGGATCAAACTCAGGTCCTTGCGCTTGCGTAGCAGGTGGCGAAACCACTGAGCTAAATCCCCGGCCCCCCATCACACATTTTAATCTTAACAATTTTTGATTGATTCAATAAGTAATGAATGGGTATCTCATTCTTGTGTTTTGTCTAAAGTTTAACCCATCAATCAGAGAATGCAGACAATGTGATAAACCTCAAATTCCTGACTATGGAAGTAACCCTGTGAACCGGGGAGGGAGAACAACTGTTTCAGTTTAGCTTCTGATGAGCTGTCTGAGCTTATGCGATTTCATCAGCTTCTCTAGGTCTTTTGAGGGACTTCACTAAAATGAAAATTTAGTGATTTGCTAAAGGACAGTACCCAATCCATGATAAACTTTGGATTTCAATCCATTAAACTCAGAATAATGACAATGTTCATAGCATTTCCCTGTGATATAAATTTAATTTTTTAAATGTTTACAAAGTATACTTGTGTTCCATTTAAATTTATTCTATTACATATTTACTATAATAAATTATAAGCTATAAAATAGGAAAGGTCTGCATTATGGTTTGATCTGAAAAAGGCTCATATGTTCAGTCAGAGGTACAACTTTTGGAAATATGATTGGATCATAAAGGCTCTCACTTCATCAAGTGAATGAATCCATTAATAAGTGCATTAGCTGAATGGGTTTATTAGGAGGTGAGGCCTAATTGGATGAAACAGGTTACTGGGGGAATGGCATTGAAGGTATAGGTTGATCCCAGTTCTTTCCTTCTGACTTTCACTCCTCTACTTCTTGGCGACATGAGGTGAACAGCTTTCCTCTACCACATCCATCTTCCATACTATTTCTGCCTGGCCCCAGGCCCACAGCAATGGAGCCAGCCAACCATAGACTGAAACTTCTGAAACTATGAGCCAAAATAAACTCTTTCTCCTCTAAGTTGTTTTTCTCAGGTATTGGTCACAGGAGCAAACCCTTCACTAAATCAATCTGTAAAATTTTAAGTTGGTCTGCAACTTCTTTTGCCCTCCTCTTAAGTTTTTTTTTGTTCCATAAAATCCAAACCTCTAGAAATCACTGAGCTTGAAGATCTTTAAGATGTCTTTTATTTCCAAGAGTATGAAATTCAACTCAGTCATAAATGCTAAGATAATCATTTCCTTGATGTTTTATTATTTCTACATTAAGAATGTGAAGAGATCTTTCTAACTGCCATGAGTTTGTTTTCCTATGCAAACATTTATTAAATCTATTTAATCAAATGAACATTTAATAAATTAAAACAGTGCAACTTCTAATTAATCATTGTAAGTTTTTCCTATTTTGCTAGTCAAGTCATAATTAGAAAAGTAATTAACCTAAATCCTATACTAATATCACTTTCAACTTGTACCATTTTTCCAGAAAATTTATCAATCTGATGATCGTCTCTCCATTTCAACTACATGACATACAGCAGGAAGTTATTTTATTTGGGATTGCATTTGTACAAAGAAACTCAAAGTATACTTTATGTCCCCTTCCACAAGAAAACCCTCTTTCAAAAATTTCTTGTAATCTAAAAGTAATTGTAGCAAATTCTATGTGCTAATACAATCATTCAGAACTTCTAACACATTATTGAGACCATTTTTAGAAATAGGAAATCTAAGTACTAAATATACAAAAGAAAATTTAATGGCTTTAAGATACAAAATAAATACTATATGGAGAAAAATGTCAGTACCATTTGTTTTCATTAATAAAGAAAAATGTAAAATAAATAGCAAGTCATGAAATTTATGAATTTTTCTAAATCTATAAATACAATGTACAAATGTTAGTGGAACAGAGATTCACTTAAATATGAGACAACATGTACTTTATTAGTTAAATTAAGTATCAATATACTTCATTAATTAAATTAATGTCATGTCTTTTGACTTAGTCACTTTTAATAACTTCTCTGCCCATGGAAAATTCAAAATATGGGGCAATAATGTACATTTATATCTTCATGATATCATTATAAAACTAAGCTAGGAAAATGAGCAATTTTAACCTAAAAAACTAATCTAAATATTAAATAAATTATGATATGACCATTTAATGCATATTATTTTACCATTAAAACTTGTGACTATATAGCAATATAAAAGTTAAAAAGTGTGGGTAAAAAATTTTATGTCTACTACTAAAGCTGATATAAAATGTCCTGGCAAGAACCTGAGGTTAAAGAAAACCAAAATTAAATTCAAATGAGAAAACTCATATATCCAATTTTACCACAAAGACAACTTCAGTTTGCAAAGTTAGGTACTGAGATTAGTGAGAAGGAAGACATGGATGTACCCTCAAAAACTCCACAGACTAGAAGGGAGACAGACAAGTTATGATAGAACACACAAGTTATGATAACACAAAAATGGAAAAATTGTGGATAGTTTTTCAGTTTTCTGTTTTTCCAAACTTCCTCTGATTTATATTACTTTAATAAATGTTTAAACATGGTTTTGCCCACATTAAGCAAAAGTACATTTGTAAGGTTGAATGAATATTTCCAATTAGCTCTATCTCAAGCTGAAATGAAATAATTTTGCCAATTTTTGAAGCATAAGAATATTAGTTCAAGCATTATGTATAAATACGAAAAAAAAAAAAAAAGAATGGGCATTCATAGACATCATTCAAATATTTAGCTCAAAGGCATTATTTGCAGTTACTTTGCTCTGGAATGCATAATGCATGTGACATGAAATATATCACCTAAAGTTTGATACTCAGCTGTTGAGTGGGTAAGGTTAAAGGCGAGTTCTAGAGGTCATCTCATGACAAAAGGGCTGTTTTTCTCAAATAAAAATGGTAATTATTATCCCATTCTGAGAAAGGAAATAATGTAATACCAAACCATTTGACACTGGACTTTACTGCAATTTTAGACCCAATGATGTCAAAACTAACAACATCTCATAGTAGTGATGTCTCAGAATGAAATCGAGCATTCAAAGTCATACTTAAATAGATGCAAAGGACCTACAAGTCACCCCTGGCTTTAACCAATTTATTCAAGATGAGTGTTGGTAGTAAGAAAGGTAAATGATATAAATGGCAAGCAATGGTTGTTCATCATCTAGAAAATGTCACTGTTTTTTTTTCTTTGGTACTGGGGATCAGACTCGGGACCTTGCACTTGGGAGGCAGGTGCCAGAACCACTGAGCTGAATCCCTGGCCCAATGTCACTGTTTTTTGTTGTTGCACTTCCATATATAGGCAAGAGGTTAGGTAGGTATGTAGGAAGATAGATGATAGACAGAAGATAAACAAATGACACAGAACATGTATTTTAGTATTATAGAAATTGAAAGTACAGATTAATTACATAATAAGATTTTTTAAAGGTGTAACTTGGCATTTAGCTGCCTCATTTCCATGAATCTTACTTAAATCCCAGCTGTCTACAAACCACGTAAGTATTGAGCTCAGTCCAGCCATCATCACAGACAGTGCCCCACTGTCCCCTGTAGTACACCTCCAAGTGACCCTCGTGGCTGCCTTTCCCACCTGCAAGTCTGATGGCCCCATCTGTAATAAGAAGACACAAGGACCAAGAAAATCAAGTCTCAAAAAAGGCAAAACAACATTTTAATTTTACCAGAAGCATTGCCATATTTGGGCCTCCTGCTTATTCTTTTGTTAAACTTATAACTGTACCGAGGTCATTGCATTGTTTCTAAAGTGGGGGACAACATATCTGTCCTAATATTTCTATTCCTATTCTGTGAGTAGAAAAATATATTCTGATAAAGTTCCAAAGAATCTATATTGATTTTTCTAGATTAAAATAATATTGAGGAAATTTCCCATAACTTGTCTCCATAAATCTAAGCAATGTTGGTTATGTACATTTAAAAAGCAAGAAAACATAGTAACTCAAAAATAGTTCAAAATTTTAACTGCAAATGAAGAAAATACTGACAAATGAAGGCAGCAAAAGCTATTCTGGATAAAGAACAACCTGTCATGTCAGCACATGTATTATTCCTTAGGCATTAATGAATTTTAAAAACTGGGGTACATGTCTTACCTGTTCTTTTATTGATAATACGGATCTGAAATTTGAATCTTATTAACTCAATGAATAATTAACTTCCAGAGAATTCTATTAAAAGATTCTAAGCAGAAGCACAGTAACATAAATTCAATTTTTTAAAAAGTAAATTTAAGGGGCTGGGGATTTAGCTCAGTGGCACTGCGCCTGCCTTGCAAGCACAAGGTCATGAGTTGGATCCCCAGTACCAAAAAGAAAGCAAATTTTAAAGCCATTTACATCTGAAATCATCCAACCCCTCCCTCACCCCTGTGAAACATTGGGTAAAGGTCCTAGGGCAGAGAAGCTCAGCCAGTCCCAGCACACGGAAGGAAGCTCCCCGCCAACATCCCAGGCTCCTAGGGCAGAGAAGGTGAGCCAGTCCCAGCAGCTGAAGGAAGCTCCCCCCCTGCCATCCCAGGCTCCCAGGGCAGAGAAGCTCAGCCAGCCCCAGCACCCGGAAGAAAGCTCTCCTCCTCCATCCCAGGCTCCTAGGGCAGAGAAGCTCACCCGGACCCAGCACCCAGAAGGAAGCTCCCCCGCTGCCATCCCAAGCTCCTAGGGCAGAGAAGGTGAGCTGTGTGGATGCCAGAAGCAACCCCCCCCCC